CTGCGGGCGCGGCGGCGGCGGCCATGGTTGGCGGACGCAGGCACGACCCTCACGCGCGGCGACCACGCAGGGAATGACCCGGCCCGGCAGGGCCCGTGACGCAGCACTCCGCGGCGCTTCCGCGCGGGGCGCGCTGGGAAAAAAGAGTCCCCCTCCCCCTGCCCTTCTGGCCTCGCGGCCTGGCTCTGCGCATGCGCTGGCGGCCCCGCCCGTGTGACGCAGGCAGCGCTTACAGCCTGCTCTTAGTATTGTCGCGGGTGCTTCTGCTCGCTATGCTGCGGCTGTGCGACAGCAGCTGCGGGCTCTGAGCAGGCTTCCTGGGGGGCGGGGAGAAGGATTGAATGCTAAGAGGTAAAAAGGATTTCCGCTCGCAATCCTAGCCCAAACCTAGCTTTTTATTCAGGCCTGGGGGCCTCCAAGTTGAGAGCATAGCATGCAGAAACGAAGCCTTGGACTGTGCCCAGCCTCCTTGAGGGGAGGCCTCTTGGGCTTTGGGGTGACCCACAAAGGATTTTTTCCCATTGCATACAAACCCAGCTCCTTATTTGGTGCGACATACATGGCGCACAGGCCTCGGGGGCCATCAGTGGGCAGACTGGCACTCTCCACACTTGGGGTTGGGCACCACCCTGCTCAGGTTTATTCAGAAGTGTAGACATGTCCCCCAGTGGCATACGGATGTGTTTAGGGGTGACCTGGGATTTGGGGGCAAAGTCATTTAGGGCTATGTAGGTGATACTATCTTGCATTTTTCTTTGTAAATATACATTTTTGATTAAACCCTCTTAATTTGTGTAATTCATCATTATGAACCTTTAATTGTGTAAGGATTAGCTTTGAAAAAGGACATGGGAATAAGGAATCTACTTCGGCCTCATACTGTTTGATGGGAGTCAGAGCCCAGGATGATCAGCCACGAGACAATCAAGTTGTCCAGACTCCAGCACAAGCCCTGTTTCTTTGGCATGAGAATTAGGCAGCCCCACCTCAGGGCACGGGGAGCCAGACATAAAGCTGCTTCCAACCCAACCAGATTGGGTTGGAAGCACTTTAAAGTGAGGAGAGAAAACCCCAAGTTCCCACTTCGGCTGGAAAAGAACATACTAGTACGTAAAGACCTGCTGGGTCATTGTGCAAGAAAGGGGAAGGAAATGTTTATAGCCACAACCATCTATAGTTGTGTCTGCTGTCTTCTGTGGAAGCAAAGGAAATCATTACATCCACAGCTGCACACAGATTGTCTGATGGCTTTCACGGTTGGGAGGGAACTCAGAGCAATAACTTGAATTTATTATGGTGCTTCTCATCGCAAAATTATTTATAAACTCTACTAGGCCCCTACACTATTGAAGTAGCCAAGCTTTGGGGAAAAATGGCAGCTAACCAGGGCATTATGCTCCGTATAACAGCAAAGGAAAGAAAGTAGTTAGAGTTGACCATATTCATCTGAAGAGGCTGCATTGGTTGAAAATGATTTACTTGAACTGTTGCAAAATCCAACTGTGTAGACACTCATTTCAGTTTGAGTCACTTCATCTAGTTTAAACTAAAGCTGTTCCCGGTTGCCATTTGAAACTGAAAACTACACTCAAAGTGAAATGAGTATCCACACAGGAGTTTGCACTGGCCTAACTTCTCATTTTAGATTATAGCACTGCAACTTATTTTAAATGGAGAGGTAGTTACTGTTTGATATACCAGTAGATATTTTATATTGGGTCCTCAAGTGAAATTCTTTGCCCTTTGACTTTATTAAGAGAGTACAAAATAGAATACATAATAATTGCTAGAATACATAAAATACATAAAAATTAGAATACATTAGAAAATACATAAAAATTAAAACACAAAAGTTTAGAATACATAAAAAATGGTTTAGAAAACTTGCAATTAAAAACATTAAATTCACAGTATAAATTTTAACAGAGGCATAGGAACGTACAAGCAAAGTAAGGACTAACTCTAGTATATGTTGATGTCAATACTTCTAACCAACAGATTTTTCTTAGAATAATTTCTTAGAATAACTCTGTCATCCAACGGTATCATGAACTCTACTGTGGCCAAAGATGGAACATGAAACCCTGTGTGTAAAATGATTTATTTGTATATGGTCAGATATTAAAAGTGTGATCAAAAGGTTTCCATTATAGTCCTTCAGTCTTTAACAGCGTCATCACCATGTAGTCAAAACATAAGGCCTTTGTATCCTGAACTTGTATTACGACCGAAGGAGTATATTTGGGTTATGGTGGTTTGGCACAGTCTAAATAATTCTACCTTGTGTTTGTTGTTATTTCCTTATTTTCAAATATCATTAGCTTGTAAAACCCCAAACTTTTACAGAAAACTGTAAAATATATTTTTATACCAGAGACTGAATTGACTGTTCTAGCCATCTTTATTTAGTTCTAGGAAACACAGTAAACCAAATACACATTTAAACATCTAAATTACTGTTATTCAACTAATTAAACAAGTATTTTTGGCATAATTGTTTGAGAAGACTGGAATGGTCTTATAATAAATGGTCACTTTCTCCTACACATACATAGAGCTACAACTGTTAAATTTATTTTTAAGGCAAGAAAACATCAATCACATACCAGTGTCATCTTATGACTTTTTTTTTTTACCAAGCAACTAATGTACTTTATGTTGTTCAATACCCCAGTAGTCACCTGCAGCATTCTGGCTGGCTTGAACACATTTGTTTGGTGCAGCCAGTCAGATGCTAGATTACTCACAAACCATTTAAAAATACTGCATTTTTATGATCTAATTGGCCTTTGGTCAGTTTAAGTCCGTTAAGGACTCAATCCAGTAATATGATTGATCGGTACAGATTCTAATTGGTATGTCAAGGCTTCTGGCAAATGTTCAAGCAAAGGCATGAGGAGATCTGATGCACAATCCATGCCTCCTGTCCTGCTGTATGTGCATAACAGGAGGCATGATTGTGGGATCAGGGGTCATATCCCGACAGTGTCATACCCCAGGTGCCCCCTACATTGGCATGTAGCAAGCCGTCCAGCTGACTGCCACTTCGGGCCTCAGGGGCGCATTGATTATCTCACACCTGGACTGTCTTAAATTTAAAACACATGGGAAACAGCAACATATTTGTATAATAGCTTTGTGGTTTATTCCTTGTTTTATCTGTGCCTTAATTGCATTAACCTGTGGCTGGGTTACTACTTAAAATGTAATTAACTGGTTAATCGTGTTTTAAAGTCTACCAGGTACCTAAGTAACCATAGCAATTCAAGCGCACAAGTCATTAGGACACTGACTCTAATCTAAAATGTAAATCCTCTTTTTAACTAGTTATATCACTTTATGGTTAATGCTTCTTTAATAACAGGAATCTGATCTCCCAGGCTCCAGCAGTCTCTCTGACTGAATTATACAGTGGAAATGAGTTTTTTGCCTCCATCTTCCTAAGCAGGGACCGGAACAGCCATCCCCCCGCTGGGCCCCCCTCAAGCCCCAGGGGAGACACATCTGGGCCAAGGGTTAATGAGGAACTAGTTAGGGAGCTTCTGGAGGGACTGGACGTATTCAAGTCAGCCGGTTCCCACGATCTCCACCCTAGAGTACTAAAGGAATTGGCTGAGGTCATTGCAGGACCCCTGGCACGGCTTTACGAGCACTCGTGGTGCTCTGGTGTGGTGCCAGAGGACTGGAAGAGGGCCAACGTGGTTCCCATCTTCAAAAAGGGGAAGAAGGAGGACCCAGGAAACTATAGGCCAGTTAGTCTTACTTCGATCCTAGGCAAGCTGTTCGAGAAAATTATGCTGGCACACATCCATGAGGGGCCAGCAGGGGATTTCATGCTTAGGGGCAACCAACACGGGTTCATCAGTGGCAGGTCCTGTCAGACCAACCTGGTGGCCTTCTGATCAGATCACCAAATCATTAGATGCAGGGGTAGCAGTGGACATAGTCTTCCTGGACTTTCGGAAGGCCTTC